TTTGACCCCAAAAAAAAAAAAAAAAAAAAAAAAGCATTTAGAGAGCTATCAAATAATCTTTCAGTAAACTGGGCATGGTGGTGCACGCCTATAATCCCAGCACTTGGGAGGATGAGGCAGGAGGATCACTGTGAGTCAGCCTGGGCTACACAGTGAGTTCCAGAGCAGTCTCAACTACATAGTGAGATCCTGCCTCAAAAAAAAAATTTTTTTTTCAGTGACAGAGATACTGGGAAGTATGGGTAGCCAGAGCCTATCCTGTGCTGCCCTGGTTCCTACTGCCTAAACTGCAGCTGTAAGGCTGTGCTACAGACCACACGCCAGGCCCACCATGGAGCTGGTTTTCCAGAGGACTCACTTTGAGATGAAAGCAGGCCACGATGGGCAGCTTCTTCATGGTGAGCTGCTTGGTGGACTCCTGGTAGCTATGGCAGCCACTGCACTTGATCTTCGCACTGCTCCCTAAGTGTTCTGGTCTGGTAAATCTACAAGGCATTTAAAAACTGTCATTTTAGGAAAACAAGAGGGGAAAATAAGGGTCAGGAAAAAGAGGACAGGGGCATTTTATCACTTCTGTTGGGTTAATTTCTCTACTAAAAAACACATGCCTACAGTTAAGGAAGATTACTGTTTCACAATCAAAAAAATGAGAAACTATTTTTTTTTCTTCATCTTCTTTAATACTTATCTTGTGCATTTTGTTTAAATGAAAGGTCTGGGGAAATGGTAGTAATTCCTGACTGCCTTATGTGCTAGCATTTCAGTTTGTCCCAAAACAATGAAAACTTTTATTACAAAAACTCTACACTGATGTTTACTAATAATAGCCAACAACTGGAAACAACCTAAACAAAATTCAGTAGGTGAACAAACTGTGGACCCCATCCCATGGAATATTTATCAGAAATCAAAAAGAGTGAACTCCACATCAACTGGGAATTAAGATGGGTGGGAAAAGAGAATCACCAAACATTCCATGTTTCATAATTATTTATAAAATATCCTGAAATGTGAAGATTATAGGAAGCAGTTCTCCACTGCTAGGTTGAAAGGGGACATGGCTGGGAGGGACCCTGTAGGGACAGAGACGCTGTGCCTTACGACTGCATCAGTCAGCATCTTGGCTGTGGCATGCGTGTCCTACTGCAGGATGTCATCACTGGGAAACCGGGTGTGACCTATACGAGATCTGTGTATCTCAAAACTGCATGGGAACCAACAATGATCTCACCATAAAAGGTTTAATTTTTAAAAATTCAAAAGTGTAGAAAAAATGGTGATTTTCTAGTAGTGAGCAGAGATTGTTATAAGAAGGTTAAGTAAGTTAGCAAGCTAACTGTAAAGTTAGTGAACAGAAATACCTAATCACCATGCAAAAAAAACTAGTTTGAGCTACTGGGCATTCACTATAGCCAAATGCAGGCTGATACTATGTCTTCAAAATGCTCTATCCTGGACCTGAGACAGAGACTACTACCCTGGTCTGGTCCTAAATGTGGGATTCTGTGGTGACCAGCTACACCTTCTCTACAGCCTTCCTGCAAGGAAGATGCACCTTTCTCTGAGCTGGTGGCCTCACCTCCGCAGGCAGTCCGTGAGTGTTGTAGTGCCTGATGCGTGGCTTTCCCCGTTTACCATGCTGCCCTCACTCCCTGGGCTTAGGGGCCAGAATTGAGTGGAGGAGCCAGGTAGATCTAAACTGATGTCCCAGAAGGGGTCTATGGTGGTGGAGACTCCGCTGCAAAAAAAGGACGAAAGGATACGTGAGGACTGTCTGCTGTGGCTCCAGGGCAGCACATGCTATGCCAATGCTCCGCCCTGCTGTGACCTTCTGTCCCAATGACATCTCTGGCTGGAGTATTTACACAAATGTACCCTGGGGTCCCAAGGACAGGTGAAGGAGGGATGTGTGGAACCCTAGTACAGGTAAGGGCAGTGCCTTAGGTAGTTTATAAACCTGGGAGATGATCTTCATTTAGGGACTTTCTGAAGAGTATAAACTTCTGGAGCCCCACATCCAGAAACCCTGAATCCTTGGATCTTTCTGGGTCTGTGATGGATTTGGAGTGTCATTACCCAGAAACTGGGACCTGCCACCCGGGGTGGTAACAAACCCCCATGCATACATCATACCAAGTGTGCACCCACCAGGCTCAGTAGCCCCTCAGAACATGAAATGCTGGGTTTCATAAAGCCAATTCATGTCTGGAGATTTAATTTATAATAGTAATAAAGGGGAACTCAATGGGATATTTAACAATAGGAAATTTGATACAGATACTAAAGGAAGCAAAGAGCTCTGATCTGCTCAGGTCTAAGGCCCAAAATAATCTCTGCTGTGTAAAAGAGAAGAAAGCCCGGTGTGGTGGCACATGGCTGTAATCTCAGAGCTTGGAAGGCTGAGGCAGGAGGATCATTGAGTTCAAGGCCAGCCTAGGATACATAATGAGTTCAAGGCCACTCAGAACTACATAGTGAGACCTTGTCACAAACATACAAACAAACAACAACAAAAAATACAGACTTTTTCCCAGGACCCCCCCAAGGACAGCAGGTGGCAATCCATTACAGACTCTGAACAACTTCAATGGATATGACATTGGTAGATCACAGTTTTAGGAAACTGAATTGTATTAAAGATACCAGGTCACACTGTGGGTGGATGAAAGCTGCCCTAATGTGCCAATGGGTCTTCTTTCTGATTCTTGAGCTAGTTGTGCTAAGCAGAGACTACCTGGAAAGAACTGGGGACACTACAGCAAGCAATGGAGAAGGAAACCATAAATTAATAAATGTGGAAGCATACATGTAAAATAAAAATGTCCCATCAGTGATCCAGTCCTTCCTAAAAGGGCTATTTTGACTTGATTTCAGGAGTTGAGAACTCTAAGGAAAGCAGAGAAATGAGGGAGAAAGCTTCCAAGAATACCATTAGATGTGAACAACAGCAAAAATGATCTCAATGTGGTCTCACATGTTCCACAGGGACCCTGTCCGGCATTGTCTCACTGTTCTCCAAGGGGGAGGAGATTCCCACCCCCAACAGCTTTCAGCATTTATGACATCTGTTAACTTCTCTCGTGTCTTCTATCAGAGGTATTTTATTTCAACAAATAATAATGGTGTGGTTGTTTAAATATAACCACAGGCTTCTCAACTGGCGGCTGTTGTAGGTGCTGTGCTCTAAGAGCCAAATGACCCTGTGACCCATCTCCAAGGAGGATCCCCAGACAGCACCGAGTATGGCGCAAGAGCCTACTTTAAAAACTGCTCAGAGTGCATCAGTTCTGCTGACGGGGAAATGCACCGATACTGGTGCACCCCAGACAGGTTCTCATTCTGCAGGCTGACTGGCCACACTTACTGGCAGACTTGGCAGGTGACATCTGACTGCAGCCCACCCGTGAAGATCTGGTCGATGATGCAGTTGCAGTGATTAGGGTTGTTGGCCTTCTTCCCATTGTCGTCACCTGGGGAAAGAGCAGGATTTTGTGATAAGATCGGTGCACTACTAAGTTAGCAGACATAATATCACCATACCTCACCACAGAGGCAGGAGGAAGGCAGGAAGCTGGCACTCTGGAAAGTCCATAAAGACTTCTGTGATCTCAACAGAGCCTTAGCAGAGGAGCTTGTCATTACTTCAACTTGATGAGTTATCTGAGGACCTGGTTTCCAATGCTACTTTTCATTATCCTCTAAGATGTCCTAACAAAGTATATTTGACGCCCACGATTTGGCAGGTATGCTTATATGACTCCCTTTTTAATATACAGAATAAGTGAAAAAATAGTTTTTAAGTTAGCCTAACATATTAATATTTTTTTTCCCTTGGTACCAGGGGATCGAACTCAGGACTTTGGGTTTGTGAGGCAGGCGCAGTGCCACTGAGCTAAATCTCCGGCCCTAGCCTACGTTGGGTCAGATATGCTATGAAACAATCTCTATCCCCCTGCCAAAGAGATAATCTGGTATCCTCCTTCAAGGAAATCTTGCAGCTCCATCTCTTCTTCCTAGGTTCCTACATCCAGAACAACTATCTTTCTGTGGACTCTACCTCCTGTTCAGTAAATACTTAACTTATATATGAATGTACAGTGAAGCAAATATGAAAATTAAGTAATGAAATATAATACACATTTGGAATATGTATCCTACATAATGTTTATTCAATTTTAAAAGTGGAATTATCGCCAGGGATTTAGCTCAGCAGTACTGCGCCTGCCTTACAGGCACCAGGTCCTGAGTTTGATCCCCGGTACCAAAGCAACAACAACAACAACAAAACCAAAAAGTGGAATTATCACAAATGAATGAATAATGGCCGAATCCTCTGATACCTGCTTCCCAGAGTTTAAGATTAGGGGAAAATCATGCCCTGAAGAACCCTGAATTCATAGGACAAAATGTTATTAGGATAGGGGAAAATACTGTACTTTCAGGAAGGTGCAAAGAAAGATGAACTAGAAGATGCTCTGAAAATGACAACACATAACCCCGATGTACTATTCTGATGACTGTAGGGTTTTTGTTTTACTTTATTTTTCAGTGTTGGGAATGGAACTATGCCTCGTGCATGCCAAGCAAGTACTCTATGGCAAATCTATACTCCCACCTCATTTCTTCATTTTTAAAAAGAAATGACATTTTAGATACTTCAAAATGAGTACTGTCAGAAACACACAATGGTTTGGCTGTTCCATAAACTTTTTTGAAACAGAGTTTTGCTCAGTAGTTCAGGCTGGACTCGAACTCACTGTGTAGCCCAGGCTGGCCTTGAATTCACAGCGATACTCCTGCCTCAGCCTCCTAAGTGCTGGGATCACAAATGTGAACAATTTAAGAGCAATGCATTTTGAAAAAGCTTTTAGGTCAGGGCTGGGGGCTTAGCTCAGTGGATAGCTCACTGCCTTTCAGGCACAAGGTCCTGAATTCGATCCTCAGTACCCCCCACACCAAAAACAAAAAAAAACCCAAAAATCTTTTAGGTCAGATTTCTGCTACTCCTTCTGTTTCAAAGGTGCCTGGAATAATAATTTAATAATCTTTCATAGTGGCTGTCTTCCGTCTCATGTTATATTACTAGGAAACCCAAACTTACCTAAACTATTAGGTAACACTTACTTGTTCCTTGAATAAACATTGAAAAGTTCATGTATAATTTTAGAAGAAAAAATTTTAAATACCAACAAAACAGAAGGCAAAGCATGAGAGCTGACTCAAATGAGCCCCTGATCTGCATGCAGGGCCCAAGATGCACATGGCCACCCTCAGAGCACAGTCCTGAGAGAGACTGAGGGGTGCTAGAAAGCCAGCTGCTTTAGTCTTTTAAAACAAACTGAGTGGGAGGATACCGCCTACAACTACCTGTACATAACTGCAGATAACCCATGGGCAACCAACAGGTAAAACAGGTAACTCATTACCTCAGTAATTTTCTCAGGTATGGAATGGAACCCATGGCCTCAGTATTACGGGGGACCTGAGGAAGAGTGAAAACCCTGACTCCCCCAAGACCTACTGAACCACAGACTAAGAGTAAGGAATCAAGCTCGGTGTGGTGGCGCACGCCTGTAATTTCAGCACTTGGGAGGCTGAGGCAGAAGGATCACTTTGAGTTCAAGACCAGCCTGGGCTACACAGTGAGTTCCAGGTCAGTCTCAATTACATAGTGAGACCCTGTCTCAAAAAACCAAAGAGTAAGGAACACCCTCAACCTGACAACCTGGTCTGAGTTGGGAACCATTTCTTAGCTATCACCCACAGGTCATCAGAACAGGGACTTCTCCATGAGGGGGACAGGCAGGGAACCAAATGGCTCAAGTTATTTCCTCTGAGTCTCCCACTCCTAGCCCCAGGAGCTGCTGTACCCCTGAACTATCACCTCTCTTCCCCTCACTCTCTGAATCCTCAAAGAGCACCATCCTCTGGGGACAGCCTGTGGGGATATGTTATGAGAGGTCTAGAAGCAGCAGCTTGGGTTATGTTGTGTCCCCTGCCCTCTAAATCATCTAAATCAGAGCAGCAACAGGTCTTCCTGGAGGCTCTGCAGGGGAGAATGGTGGTGATCAGCAACATTCAGAAGACTTAAGCCTCAAAACCCAAGGATCCTCAGGGCAGCCACAGCAAAGCAAAGGCCTCAGCCAGTACTGTAGGATTTTGCTGCTCTCTATGGCAGACCACAGAGGACCCCGCCACTATGCTGCTCCACCCCTAGGAAGGCCAGAGGGCAACACGTAAAACTCTCCTTTTCTTTTAAACAAACTACAAAGAACCTCCTTGACAACATTCGTGATATTTCTCCTACTGGAAGAAAATTAGGCATGAAGCCTATGAAACACAAATCAAACTTATTCCCTACAAGATTTGCATGAGCAAGCACACATATTCCTTCACCTTGTTTCCTCTTTAAAGAAAATGTCTGTCTCCACCTTGGGTCAAGGCCACTCACCTTTGCAATGTCGGTGCAGGACATCCAGCGCCGCAATGAGAAACTCATGTGCATCCTGCTGTTCGTAGCCCGCCAGGTGACGTGCGTGTGTCCACACCAGGTGTAGCAGCTTGTATGGGATGTGTGGAGACCGGTGCCCGGAGTAAAACTGGAGAGGAGAAGGGAAAACTTACAGGAACACAGGCACAAAGCAACTTTCTTAGGAAAAGGACTCAAGATCCTAAATTACAAATTCTAAGCACAATCATGAATTTTAAAACGGCACAGTAAACAATATGCTATTACTGGCAGGCTAGAGGTGTAACTCAGTGGTAGAGAGCCTAGTTCAAACATCAGCACTGGAAATAAAAAAAGTCACAAAGTTAGCTTTGTTCTTTCAGTTCCAAAAAGGTTCACACTCTTGGAGTCACTGACAGTAATGGGCAACTGTCTACAAAGCAGCAGCACGGGAGCAAGGAAGCAAGAATCTCACATTCTCCTTTGACAGGATCAGAGTTTATTCTAAGACAATAAAAGGTGAAAGGTGGGGAAATTGTAATTGAACATCATTCCTGATCCAAAAATCCAAATTCCAAAATGCTCCATAACCTGGAATATTTGCACACATGATGCATTTTGGAGTAATCATATTTTTGGATCAGGGACACTCAATAGTAAAGTCTATGTAAATACTCCAAAATCCACAACACTGAAATCTGAAACACTTGTGGTCCCAACCATTTCAGACAAGAGATATTCAGCCTGTGTGTCATCTGGTAAAAAGAATTAAGATCAAATGTCAATAGACAGGATGAAGAGGCTGAATCAGCACATTGAATATGCTGATCAGTAAATGCTGACCTCAAGAATGATGTGCTCAGCCACACTAAGAACTCACTTTTGAAAGAGTTTTAGGCTATTACAGAATTCCTGTAAATATACAGTTTCCATTACATTAGCTATAAAACATTTGAAGTAGATTATTTGAAATAAATCCAACAAAAGGCCCAATCTGTAAACAAACAAATAGAAAAACATTTCCCTACACATGTGATGAGAATATTCTCAGTCTAAAATAATCAATGCAGGCTGAGTATTCCTTATCCAAAATCTGTGGGACCAGAAAGATTTCAGATTTAGAAAATTTGTGTGTGTGTGTGTGTGTGT